TGTTATGGTGGAATTATGTGATTTGAACATATTGTTAGGTGTAACCACTTTGTCGTGTAATGGTCACAGACAAAAAGAAGTTTTATGAAACTAATTGGGAACTGAATAGGGAAATGTTAAAGATGTTGTTCGTATACTTTTACCTTTTTTGCTTTTCTCTGATTCATTTATTTTTCCCTTCTGAAATTAAAAACAATATAGGAAAATAAAGAGAACAGTTTGACAACTATTCTGAGAGTCTTGGGCAGTGCATTTTTCTGCAAGTACATATATTCTATGAGCATCTTTTATTCACAACAGTGTTAATGTGGTGTAAGCAAGAAGTTAACATGCCAGGGCATGGGTTGGCACATATAATACCTCTGCTGAGAAAAATCAAGTGTTTCAGGTGTTTTCATACTACTGATTTCAAAAAGTACTAAAATATCCCCTTTTCCTTGAAAATGATATTTGACCTCACCTGGTTTTCTGTATAACATGAACTGGTGCTTGCAGTGCTAGAAACTATGAGATTGAGACACACGTTTTAGAATTTATCAAGCTTTTTTAACGCAATTTTTTCAAACACAAAAGTACTGGTTTCAGTGGATTTTAGGGGGGCTTGGTAGGGAGATTGATGAATGTTGGAAAACTACTTAAGGCTTTGAAGTCAAATTATGCAATTGTAAGATACTCTTCCCTTCCCCATATAGCATACCAACGATCCTGATTGCTGTAGCGACTTCTAAAAGTGCACAGTTTTTTTATAGAATGTCTACCAAACTATTACCTCACAGAACTGTTCATTGTAGAAAACATATTTGAACCAGATTGACAGAGCCCTCTTGCTGCAGCCCACGCACCAGGTCTTACATGTAATACACCATTGTCATGTGTTCACTTTTAAAAGAAAAAAATTTGTCCATTTGATTTTCAAATTGCCATTAAAAAGTCAGTTTGGGGAAACAGTGCCATGTAGACAGCAAAATAATACATTTTGTTTGCACTAGCAATTTTGAAAGTGTATCTTCCAGTCTACTCTTAGATAAGTTTACAGGTTTAAAGATGAAGTCCTTGCTTAAATTTGCATATTCGGGAATACTAATGAGGTTGAATATTTTTCTCTCCATTAACCATTTGTACTTGCATCTTTATGAATTATGTGCTCATATCATTTACACATTTCCCTTGGGGGTAATTTTTAAAATATGGAAATTTTTGAGGCAAGAGCCTAATGTTGACATCAGCCTGTTAACATATGACAATTGCTTTGACTTTCTATTTCTTTTGTCTTCAAAAAATAGTGCAAAGAAATACCATAGTCTGTGTATGTTCATTTCAGTTGTTGACCACCTTTGCAATGTGTTCAGCAAAACGATCAGACAGTGCCTCTTCTCTATCTCTATCATAATGCTCTTCGAAAAAGTAATGGTTCTCTCTGAGCAAGCACAGTTGACTGATTCATGTACGCTTCATGAAAGATTGCTTTTGTGCTCTGTGGTTGGCCGTTGTTTGGAAAATGAGATGTGTCCACTGGTAGTGGGATAGGCGGGAGTGGAATGGTAGTAACATACAGACGTTGTGGGAAGATTTGATTTTTAGACAGAAAATTGATTAGCACAATGTCTCCCATGAATAATTTTACAGCGTTCCTGAAATGGGACTATTTGGGCAGGATTTGCTTGAGTCTCAGTTACCATGTAAAAGTGAATCCAAATGACAATTGTGAACCAGAATTAAGCAGAATTGTTATTCTTATGTGAGTTTAGATAGAACAAAAGCTTTCTTGTATAATTGTCTTATAAATTTCAAAGCCATTATCTACTTATCTACTGTAAACACTTGATTTTTCAAATTTGTTGGGCAGGAGGAGAGCCAAGGTATTTCATTGTTAGGTAGTCTTGGACAAGTTAGTGGTAATTAGTAATCCTACTGTTTGCTACTGCCAACATTGCTCAGGGAGTCAACCCTAGGACGGGAAAGTTATTTAGAACATGAAATTACTTTAGAAAAATTTTCCTGAGTGGGTTAATCCCTCTCTATTAGGGTTTCTCAACCTTGGCATTTCTCAACCTATTTGCCTGAGTACATCTTCGACGTGGAGAAGTTTCCTGCAGATTGCAGGGTGTTTAGTAGCCTCCCAATAGATGACAGTAACACCACTCCCCACTCCCTCCCAGCCACACTAAAAAAATGTCTCCAGACATTGCCAAACAGAGGAGGGGGGTGAAAAATCTCCTTGTACCCCCTCCTCCTGTGAGAACCACTGGTCTTAATACTGCTTTTAACCATATTGCTTGGGAAAATCCCTTAAGATTAAAAACATGTTATTTGTTTTTAGAATTCCACAGATAATCATTTCTTTAAGGCTACTTTGATATTATTGTGGCCTGTTGTTCACAGAGAGGTTTCACGTCCTTGGAAGAGCAATGTTCTTCACATCCACTCAGTATACTTCAAGAAAAGGAGATGGAAAAGAATATTGAATCTGCTGAGGAGGATGGCATGACATGTACTGCTGCAGAAATAATAGGGAGTGCTCGGAATGTTAAAAAGTCAAAAGATGTTGATAAAAAGTCTTGAAGAAAGAAGACAAGTAGTGATTCTACAACATCTTACTATGCTGATGGACAGTGACTGTAATGGGGTTTGTGGGGGGGACTTGGTGAAGGGGGACCCTAGTAAACATAATGTTCTTCATGTAATTGTAGATTAATGATAAACAAACAAACAAAAAAGTCATGAAGAAGATGATTTTAGCGAAGTTGTCTTCAGCTTTTGAAGTAATTAATTAAAAAGCAAGCCTTATTATCTTGCTAAGAAAAGGCTACATTTTCCTATTCTGCTTTTCAATTTTAAGAGCAAGAGGCAAATGACAAGTAAACAAGTTGTTTTCTGTAGTGTAGTCAAAAAAAAAAAAAAGAAAACACCAAAATTGTTTTCCAGGATATGTCATAAGCACAATGTGGTTTCAGCTTTACTCCTGCGCCTTTTACATCTGTGGTCCTATAAAAATGATAATTGATGGTCATTTAAAGCACTGCACTATAAAGAAATACCTTTGGAATGATCCACAGACATGAGACTGTATTCATTCAGATGCCTTATATTAAACTTTTAATGTGCCAGGTTCTGTGCAGAGGATACAGAAAATAGTAATATGTTCTGATTGACTATTGCATTAAAATAATTCTGAATGAATGGAAATTTTCTGGTTGGGGATACTAATCACCATCAATCTATTTCCCACTTTTCCAATTGAATCTGTAATTTTTAATGTCTGTATAAAAAAGTCTGTGTGAGTGTATCTATATTTCATGTTTATAATCTAATTATTTTTAAAGCTATTTCTGAAACTAGGGGAAAGCTATATTCATTTTCCTTTATGCTTGTTAAAATTTTATTTAAATTATTCTCTTTATTAAATATCCATGAGAGTTGAATAAAACATGGTCATATTTTATTAATTCATTTTTGGTTATGCTATGGCTCTAATATAATTAAGAAGAATTGATGTCACCCTTAAGGCTGGGATTTTTGCTAATTATTATGGAATTTAAACCTAGGAATTTTTGAAACCACTGATGTCAGAATTCAAAAAGCAGAATCTTTATTAAAAGCCTGATATTTTCTTAAACCTTTTTATTTTTTAAAACTGATAACTTAGATTATAGGTATGGTAGGGAAAAAAGTGAAATCTTTCTGATATTGGATAGACCAGAGTTAGGCATGCAAATAATTCAACATTTAGGAAGTTAAACAGGAAAAATACTGAGTTCTAGCATTTGAAAATCCATTTTTCCTAATGTCCATTTTATCAGTTTACAGCATGAATGCACAAAGCCATTAGAGCCATGGGCTCCCTGCTCTTAGGCAGGCGATTCAGAGACAGTTTTAACAATATGTACCTAAGGAAACACAAGTAAAGTCAGCCTACTCTAAGTAATAAAGAAAGGTTGTACCAAGATGGCCAATTTTTAAAAAGTGTCACCTAAGAGGCCCTTTAACTATGAAATATTTTGCCAGATTCTCTATGACCTGTTGGCCACAGGTTCTTCAGTCCTTTTTACGGGCCCTGAGCAATTATTAGTCTAATATATGCATGGGCATAGCACTTATTATAATTATTATTCATGCCTTTGAAAAGATGGAGATATCATCTTTTGTATTGTATTATATTGTACATATTGTACATATACCAAAATACTGAAACACTAGACTGTTATTTTGCCTAAATAATCCCAAACTGGTAAGTAAGAGATAGTGCTAAAAAAAGAAGTTGTTTTATGTGTAAAATGTTTGTTCAGTTGGGGTTTATTAGAACTATAACTAATGACAGAAGAGGAAGTAATTGTATTAATATACCACAGTTAATCTTTGACTTTTAATAATGGAATTTGTGGAGTTTGGAATCAGACTAGATTTAGATTCAAATCCTGGCCCACCTACTTTGATAACTTTGTGATCTTAGGTATGTATTTTAACTTTCTGTATGTAGCTCATTTTCCCTACTTTAAGTAAAAAAGAGGTAGTAATAGCATCAGATTGTTTTAAGGGTTATATAAGATCAGGTGTGTAAATTCCTTGGCAGGTACCTGATACACAGTGAATATTCGATGAATGATAGCTCTTATTTTTAACTTTCTAAAATTAGGTATTCCAAAGTAATTTTAACTATGAATAACACAATTTCGTGCTCTTGCTGCCTAAATAGTATGATACTAAAAGCAATTACTGTGGCACTAAAAGTGAAAAAATTCCTTTGTGATTACAGTTGTACGCAAGCAAGCTTTTAGGCTGATTTCTCAGTTCTCATGTATCTTTTCTGACTGTGGAAAGCCTTTTACAAATACACATGTCTCTTCTATGATGCAGAATGGTATGAGCCTAAAATACAGTGAAACAAAATTCAGTGTATTCTGTAGTCACATGATTAGCACTACTATTTCCCTGAATAATCTCATTGTGAATTATATATCAAGTTTTACTTTGCCTTTCTTTCTCATTTGAAAAAATTTCAGATCTCTAGTGGAAGAGGAAGACCAACACATGAAATTGTCCCTCGGAAGCAGCGAAATGGGCCTCTCATCCCATTTGCAGTCTTCCAAGGCAGGAACCACACGCATCTTTACCAGCAATACCCACAGTTCTGTGGTGTTACAGGTAATTTAAGCTGTACATTTGGTAGCATTTACATGGCTTTAAAAACCACCCAGGGGTTTTGTGGTGTGGGGTGCTGATACTAGGGAAGGTTGTGTGTTTTTGTGGACAGAGGTGTATGGGAACACTGTACTTCCAGCTCAGTTTTACTGTGACTGAAAGTTGCTCTAAAAAATTTAATTTTATAAATTAAATTTTTTTTTAAAAAAAGCAAACACCAGATGAGGAAAAGGTTTCCTGATGTTAAAAAAAATCCCCAGAGTTGATTCTTTGTTTTGTTTGTGTAAAGAAAGCCTTGCTATCATGTCGCTGTCTTACACAATGTTATATTGGCAACATTGACTTTCCATTTCCTCTCTGCCAAGGTAAATATCATAAGTTCCCACACTAAATTCTTTAGTTCATCACTCACAACCTATTTTACTATCACCTTTATCTTAGTTCTAAAGATCGTATTTGGTGTCTCGACTCGCATTGGCAATCTTCGGGGCATGGAAGTAGGGGTGAGGATGCAGGATTGCAAACACGCTGATAGATGTAAGAGGTAATAACTGACATCAAAGGAGAGGATAGAAAAATGATAGAAAGCCAAAAGAACAAAAAAACCTGCCATGTGGAGCTCTTTAACATAAGGATAAGGGGTCCAAGTATTTCTGACCATTGTGGGCACTCCTTGACGTCTGTGGACTTTGCTGCATTAGACGGCAATATAATACTGGATGTCCATAAATGTCTTTAGGTATAGTTAAATTAGATCCATGTTCTCTGCCTAGTAAGATAAGGAAAAGAAATGTTTCTAAATGTATTTTTAAAAGAAATCTCCTTAGGTGAATTTCACATATATATCCCTAGTCAAGAGCCGTTATGTTAAAGCAGCATGTAAAGTATATAGCATTCTGAGAGAAGAGGCTTATATTTGCTGCATGGCTCTGCTGTGTCATATAGTTTTCTGGGTTTTATTAGTCTTTATCTCCAAAATGTGAGTCTTGACTAGGAGAGCTCTCAGTTCTCTTCTAGTTTGCATCTGTGATTCAGTGCAGTCACATTTTCCCAATGTTTTGGTTTCTCACAGGAGCTGGGTTTTAGGATTCATTGTCCTCTGTGTGTATTAACAAGGGAAATGTGATGGTCAGGAAAGAATCTGTCCATCTTGTGGCATCTAATACTACAAAAATGGTGTAATTGTTGATGTTTTAAGGCTATGGGAGGAGAGAATGAGGGATCAAGTAGATAAGAAAAGCATGAGAGTAAGAGGTTTTTGGTTATATTAAAATATTCTCTCTAAAGAAAAGAGACCTAATTACCTCTCTGCTATACTTCTGCCTATCCATGTCCATAGTCATGGATTAAAGCCAATTTTTGTGGTCCTGATAATTTTTCAAATTTACTTTAAACCAAATAGTGAAAGCCACTGCAGTGCAGTGAAAGAGATTTAGGGCAGTGGTCCTCATTTTGGTGTATATCAGGATCACAAGGAGGAGGACTTGTTAAAACAGGGAGGAAGGGAGGATCTGAGTCCTACCCCAGAGTTTCTGAATCTCATTTTTTTATGGGCTCCCAAGAGATGCTGCAGGTCCAGGGAACATACTTTTAGAACCTTGTTCTAGAGATAGGGTTTTTCTTCCACCATAAAGTTCAAGAGAGATGGCCTCTCTCTTCCTCCGTGTATTCCTAAGTTACTGTAATAATGGGGAAACATTGGAAGTAGCTTACATATCCACCAAAAGTGAAATGATTTCCTAAATTATGTTGCAGCACAGCTATGTAATACTGTGCAGTCACCAAAAAGAGTGAGGTAGATCTGCATGTATTGAGTAGAAAGAATATATTAAATGAAAAAAGTACCAAGACAAATGTGGCATAGCCATACAATGGAATATTATTCAGCTATATAAAGGAATGAAGTACTGATATATGCTACAACATGGTTGAACCATAAAACATTATGCTGAGAGAAAGACAAGTACCAAATGATTTCATTCATTTGTGGGGTATAACAACAAAGCAAAACTGAAGGAACAAAACAGCAGCAGACTCAGAGACTCCAAGAAGGGACTAGCAGTTACCAAAGGGGAGGGGTGGGGGAGAATGGGTGGGAAGGGAGGGAGAAGGATATTAAGGGGCATTATAATTGGCACACATAATATAGGTAGGTCACAAGGAAGGCAGTATAGCATGGAGAAGACCAGTAGTGACTCTATAGCATCTTACTACGCTGATGAACAGTGACTGCAGTGGGGAAGGGTGAGGACTTCATAATATGGGTGAATGTTGAAATCGCAGTGTTGCTTGTGTGAAACCTTCATAAGACTGTGTATCAGTGATACCTTACTAAGAAAAAAAGGTCGGAGGGAGAAACATTATGCTGAGTGAAAGGAACCAGAAACCAAAGACCGCATTTTGTATGATCCCATTCATACAAAACGGCCAGAATAAAGAAATCTATAGAGATAGAAAGTAGATTAATGGCTGTTTAGAGTTAGAGAAAATGCGAGGATTCAGGGGTGATAGCTGAAGGGTATAGGGTTTCTTTTGGAGATGGTGAAAGTACCCTAAAATTCACTGTGGATATGGTTTCACATATTATCTGTGTATATACTAAAACTACTGAATACTGCACTTTCAATAGATGAATTGTATGGTATGTTATATATCAATAAAGCTGTTAAGATTTTCTAGATTTGTTGCATAAAATTGCTATTATTTCTTCTGAAAACAGTTGGTAGAATTCACCAGTGGAAATCCAGTTTTATTGTAGACCTATGGCTATTCAGGTTATTTATTTCTTCTAGAGTAATCTTTATTAGCTTGTGTCTTTCAAGAAATTTGTCCAACTGAGTTTTCAAATTTATTGGCAAGCTATTGTTCATATTTCCTTATTATCCTTTTAATAGCTATATAATCTCTAGTGATACCACCTCTCTTGATCCTGGTATTGGTAATTTGTGTTTTCTCTCTCTTTTTTCCTTATCAGTCGGGCTAAAGTTTTATCAGATGTATGGATTTTCTCAAAGAACCAGCATTTTGGTGTTATTGTCTTTTCTGTATTTTTCTGTTTTCTATTGCATTAATTTCTACTCTGATCTTTATTTCCATTCTCTGGCTTAATTTGGGATTAATTTGTTCTAATATTTCTAGTTTCTTAAGGGGGAAGCTGAGCTCCTTCATCAGACTGATAATAAATATTCTTAGTTCTGAAATTTATTTTATGTGATATTATATTCATGGCAGCTTTCATTTAACTTGTGTTAGCTTGGCATATCTTTTGCCATCTTTTTATAGCTTTTAAAAACTAGCATATAACAAAATTAATTTTTTTATCAGTCTACATATTTATAAGTTTTAACAAATATATTGTTTTATGTAATCAGTGCCACAATTATGATACTGGACTATTCTATTACTCCAACATACTCTGTTGTTACCTGTTTGTGGTCAAACCCATCCCCACCTCTAAACCCTGGATAGTACTGATCTGTTTCCTGTGATTGTCATTTTGTCTTTTTGAGACTATCATATAAATGGCATCATACAGTCTATAAGCTTTTGAGATTGGCTTCTTTTATTTTGTCTAATATACTTGATATCCATTCACTTTATTGTATGTATCAATAGTTTGCTCCTTTTTATTGTTGAGCGGCATTCCATGGTATAGAACTTTGTGGGGTCTCTTTTCCATGCTCCTTTGTCTCCGTCATCTCCCTAGTACTTCCCAATGCCCTAGGGCTCTCTTATTGATCCTGTGGCCTTAAAGCTGGAGTTTTATTATTCTGCTCTGCTGTACACTTACCACTACTGAACCAACATTCTGTCCAAATGCAGACAGGTATTTACTGGAGAACTATTGCAACTCCTCCAACCAAAGATGAAGATTTCTTTCCATCAGAGTTTTAGGCATTTGCCATCCCACTGTCACCACTGTCACTATTGCCACCTTGGAATTGCCTGGGAATTGGGTTCAAGAGAGCAGAAGGGGGGGGAATGTAAAATGGATTTTCTTCACTCTCTCTGAGCTTTAAGAATCCCCTTTCTTGCTCTTCCAGCTAGAAATAGAGCTTTCTTTGTCTGCACCCAGATGCCTACTTTCGTGTTACACGGTGCCTTAAGTCCAGGCTCAGATGTAATGGGAGGAAAAAGTAGGAGGTAGGGTGGAGGGCTCACCATCAGTTTGGAGGTACTTTGCAAACATTCTGATTTTCTTCCCCAATTCTGCTATCATTAACATATTTTTCATTTACTTTTAAGCTTTGTGAGGTGGAACCAGAGAAGCATTTATTCTAGGGAAACCTTTTTCCTAGTACTGAGGCAAATCCTTTTGAGTGCTCTTCCTAAGGCCCCAGAATTATAAGGTCTCCACTTCCATGGTTTGAATAAGAACTATTCCCAGCCTTGGTAAGACTTGGAGAGTGTTCCTCGTGTTCCTTCTAGGTTGTTCTTTCCTAGACAAATGCACTTATCAGGACTCACCTGAATACTTGAAGGGGACTGTTTTTAGCTCTACTCTCTTTGCAGAGCTCTCCTCTTGTATTCTGCCCTACAAACCAAGTCGTTTCAACCTCCCTAGACTCAACCAGGGAAGAATGCTGGGCTTCGATTGGGATCCCACTCCCCGTACCTTTGTTTGGGATCTCCAGGCAATAAGCAATCATGGGGCTCGTCTAACTTGTTTCTCATCTTTCATAGATCCTTCTCTTACACCAGTTGGACTATTTTTTTGTTTCATATATTTTGTCTGGTTTTCAGTTGTTTCAAGAGGTAAGGTAAATCCACTCGCTGTTACTTCATCTGCTCTGGAAACAGAAATTTACAGAATATAATTAAACACTAAATTGGGCACCCAGACTAACTGTGCTTTACTATTGTAGAGATTTGGTTAGGGATAGCTTTACAAAGGAGGTAAAATTTGAGTTAGGCCTTGAAGGAGGGAGGACATTCTTTGTGAAAATGATGGCATCAATAAAGGTACTAGAAAAGATGTAGGCTTGGGTTTTTACCAATGAGAC